CCCCCCCCCCTTTTTTTAATTTGGAACCTCAGAGTACTCTAACAACTTGGTTTCGTTCACCCACATTAGAACAATAACAGGCCTAACACGAGTATGTTCACCGCCCCGGACTATAAATAGAACAGCTCTCTTCGCTTACGCTGCTGTGAAGCACTGGTTGTCATTGACAGCGCCACAAGCTGTGCTGTCTCGTTTCACATTGCTAGGTCTCTGGTGCTTCTGACTGAGGTTGTTTTTAAGCCATGCCCAAAAGGAGGATATTAACATGTTCTTATGCACAGTAAAATTGTTAATGGGCTGATTTATTAAAGTCATGCTCATACTGTGCCAGAAAACCATAGGTGAAACTGCTGCTTTCCCCCCTCATCTTTACTATCGTCATTTTTTCTCTACTTCTTTATTTTATATGTTTGCCATTCTCTTGTGAACAGCTATTTTCGGAGTGCCTTGGGAGAATCTAGTAGAAGCAGGCTTTGTGCTGTTGCGGCTAGAAAGGTGAGCAGAGTAAACCTGATTCCCCGTCGCGACATTTTGGAGAGAGCAACGGAGCATCAATGGACATGTCCGGAGTGCAGGGATGTTGCTTCCTGAAACAATGAACAATACGCTCCTGTGTTGACATCCACCCCTTGGCGTGAACAAAGACCTCACGCAGTTGCAGGCGCCGTAAAACCTTACTATACACAAACAAACACATGGACATAATTAAATCCAAACCTACCCTTTCTTAGGAAGAGTTTCACCACAGCATCCCCTGTGGCATCATCAGTTTTTCCCACTGGTTGGCCCGCGTGGTACCACTGGACATGTGCAGAGCTGAGATCTGAGTCCTTCGGCGAGCAAGTACAATCTATGTACATCTGTAGCGTGCCTTTGACCGGGAAGTATTTCTTAGGATATTCGCAATACGGGTCAATGAATGGAAAAGGGGGGCCTGGAAATAAATAAATAAATAAATAAATAAATAAATAAATAAATAAATGTGCGTGTGTGTGTGTCTGTGTATGTGTGTGTGTGTGAAGAAAGGTCCCAGATGTCGGAAATTTTGGTTATTGAATTAAGGGCATATTTTTGTTGTAGCAAATTCAATGTTAAACAGGTTGATTTTTAATGTTTTAAAATATGTTGGGTAGTTTTAAAGATATGCTATATTTCGTAACACGGGGTGTAAAAACCAGTTTTGGAGACCCCCCCCCCCCATTTCTTGAACATTAAAACCTTTGGTCAAATACAACTTGTTGCATAGATAAGTAATGCAATGTATAGGCTTAAAATTATTATAAAACCCTTCTAAATGTTATTAAGAAATGGTTAAACGTGTGTTTTCTGTTGGAACAATTTTTTTGACCAAGTACTACTTTTTAGGCCTTTCCACCCCATTGCTGAAAAAATCAGCTTTGCCAACAACTGGGACCTTTCTCCAGGCACATACACACATCTGAAAATATACACGTACTAGTATTAAGATAAGATAGGATGAGATAATACTGTATTATCCCAGAGAAAACTTTTTCGTGGCTGTACAGGACAGTAAAAACGCATGCAGGTATAAATAAAAATTACTTTAAATTAAATATCAATGTGCAAAGAGAAGTAAGTAAAGATGACAAAATGTATAGATCACATCAGATACACCATTCAACCACATGCAGAAATTTAATTACAAGACCTTTGGAGTTATATACATACATACCTTAAAGAGCAATACACATCTATGCTTATTCTGACAAAAGCCATATGCTAGATGGTAAAAAACTTCTTTTATATCTTTCTTTCTTTGTTTTTAGAGGTACATAATATATGCTTCTGCGTGATCTGACAATATGTGTGGGAAAGAGGTGTGATGGGTCGTTTATAATGCTTTTGATCTTTTTTTATGCTTGCGTTGTTATAGATTTCATCAATTCTAGTAAAATCATATCCAGAGATATTGCTGGCTTTCTAAATGGTTCTGTCAAATTTAAAAAAAAATCTTTCACACTTCAATTCCTAGCTCAGCAGCAAAGACAAAACAATAACACACTTTCAATCATAGAAAGGTGTAAAGGGACATAATCTTATTATTGACAAGAAAACTTCTTAATTTCCTTAAAAGGAACAATCTTTGATTTACTTTTTTATGCACAAGAGCCGAGTGGGGATGCCAGTTAAGTTTGTTATGAATTGTTATACCAAGATACTTGTAAGAGCTTACCGCCTCCACCTCCTCATCTTTAATAAATGATTGTTGCAATTGTTGTTTTTTTAACTGTGAAGTCTATTATTAATTCCTTTGTCTTTTTTTTTACATTTAGTAAAAGGAAATGGTAATCACACCAATTTGTAAAATACATTTACAGCGTCCATGTATTCATTCTCATTTGTTGTTATAAGGCTTTGTAGAATTTAATCATTGGCAAATTATATTAGTTTGATGTTTTTGTTATCAAAAGTACAGTCGTTGGTATAAAGCGCAAACAAAACAAGAGAGATTATACAACCTTGGGGCGCACCGGTGTTCGTGAATATTAGGTCGGATTTTGCACCATTTAATTTTACACGTTAAGGTCGATTAGTTAGGAACTCAAGAATCCAAGCTATAATGTTCTTGTATATGTTTATGTTAATTAATTATGAAACCGTTATATGAGGTTGGATTGTGTTGAAAGCGGATAGAAAATCAGCAAAAAGTATCCTGCAGTAATTTATTGGTGTATCTATGTGTTGGTAGGTGTAATCTAAGAACACGAGAATGGCTTCCTCTACGCCCCTCATGGCACGATAGGCAAACTGCATGTTATCCTGTATGTCATCTGTTGATTTCCTCAGTTTTTTTTCATAACCAGTTTTTCTAAACATTTAATAAGTACTGATGTTAAAGCCTCGTGTCTTAGGTCATTCACATATTGTACCGATTGTTTCTTTGTGACAGGAATTATTTCAGAGCATTTCCACGAGAGTGATATTATTTGTTCTTTTTTGTTTTGGTTTGATTTAGTTTCGTTGTTAAAACCAAAGTTAATGCGGAGAGAAAGCAATACCAGATGAGATAAACAATTGAAAGAACAAGAAAAGTAGGAAGCATAACTGGCACCTTCCAAACATGGCCCAGAAGTATGGTGAAATGGTGAAATGTCACGGGTTCAACGTGCCTGTCAACATTATTAGCTTATTTAAGAGGCGGGACCACCGAGTTTAACGTCCATCTCCGAAAGGATCGAGCCAAGTGGGAAATTCACTTTCAAAAGGACACAACCGCTGAGGCTCGAACCCCGGAACCCGCATTCTCACGATTACGAGTTCGGTAGCCTAACCACTAGTTTGAACGAACAGTAAGTTAGACGATTGAATTACAATATCGTAGACCTTACATTCATAGTTGCCACTCTGTGCTAAAAAAACAACAACAGAAAAAAGAAAAATGCAAAACCCAAAAACAACTTCACCCTCAGCACTGTTGCGGCTCATGGATACCTATACGAAGAGCAAAGCATCAATCTCGCTGTAGCCGAGCGAGAGCGTGCGTAGCCTTTTTCTACTTGCCCTTCATTTAGTTCCAAATTGACTTAATAATAAATAGACCACTCCATGATGAGTCCAAACTAGGTCAGAATGCACACTCGTGGATAGATATCATAGTACAAAACCTTTAGTTTTTAGTAAAAGCTTTACAGAACTTGCAGCACAATTAAGTCATTAATATATGAGAGGTGTTACAAGCGAGTAACACGTACAAAACAGATGCAGGAGAGAATAATATGAGGACAGTGGATGTTTGAAAGGAATCAGGAAAGAGAGCTGTTGCGCTCAAAATATGACCGTATGCAGTTGCGAGCGCCACAAAACACTTACAACCCCCCCCCCCCAATAAAAATAGGAATGAGGTAGCAAACCACACATAAGCAGCACGCGGCAAACACCGACACAAACCTTCTGATGGAAGAAAAAAGAGACATTCACCAAGGTGAACATAAAAACAACTAGACACTCACCCAGGCGTATATCAAGAAACAACAGGCACTCACCCAGGTGTATATAAAGTAAATAGACACTCACCCAGGTGTATATAAAGTAAACAGACACTCACCCAGGTGTATATAAAGTAAACAGACACTCACCCAGGTGTATATAAAGTAAATAGACACTCACCCAGGCGTAAATAAATTAAACGGACACTCATCAAGGCGTATATAAAGTAAACAGACACTCACCCAAAAGTATAATATAAATTAAACAGATACTCACCCAGGTGTATTTTAATAGACAGTACGCGGTTTCTTGGTCCCGAGTCCGAGGACATTCCAGGCCCGTAAGTGTTGAAAACTGCCACCTCTGCTCTTAGGTCCATGATGAACTCTGAACCTGTGACACTGGAAAGGTTCATGTGTGTTTGGCAGGTCCCGCTGTTGTCTTCCTTTTGCAAATACTCAAAGGGCTGGTCAAGGAGCTGTGGGGTTTCGACGGAGTCAAACATTTTATTCTCGTAATAATTGTTTATTTCAGAATTCAGTTTCTGGCTAGGGTGAGAGCAGAAAAAGAGAAAGAAGAAGATTAGGGATGAGGGGAGGGACTTGTGTACAAACAAACAAACAAACAAACAAACAAACAAACAAACAAACAACGAACAAACAACATGATGATGATGATGATGATGATGATGATGATGATGATGATGATGATGATGATTGGTGATGATTGTTCATAATACTGCTGCTGCTGCTGCTGCTGCTGCTGAGTCTAATTATGCTGATATTGCTGCTGCTGCTGCTGCTGCTGCTGCTGAGAAGTACTAAGAGCTCACCTCATGGACCTCACCTCCGTCTCCGCTCACTTCCGAGAGTGAGCACAAGAGCCGTGGGTAGACACTGGGGCTCTCACAGGTCATCGTGAGACGGTCTCCCTCCAAGTCAGCCCAGCATCGCCCGGTCTGGACCGGTGCTGCTCCGATGATCATAATGACAACAATAATAATAAGACAATAATAACAATAACAATAATAATGATAAAATAAGTAATCATAAAAAGTATACTAGCGAGCAAAAGAAACGCAAAACCCCCCTATTTTGGCCACAACTAAATAACCATCAATGGTAGAAGACTAAAGTTTACACCGTCGATAGTATATCATATCCTCTCTGGAAATAGAAAGCCGTCCGTCTTGCTTGTCACCGGCACCTAGAGTTATTGCCCTTTAATTCAAGCATGGAAAAAGTCACGTGGTGCCTTCGAAACATGGTCTAAATGATTGAAAAAGGGGTGAAAATAATCTCCTGAGCTCGGCTCTAAAAGCCGAGGTAAAAAATCGGTTCGGGCATTTCGCCTGCAATTGCTACAACAACGCCACGTTTAAGGGCTTCAGAAAAGGCAGCAACACAGAAGATCAACTTTTTAAACTGAGTCAAAACATCCAGGATGGATTTCAGGAATCTAAACACACTGTCGCCATCTTTGTCTTTGTAGATCTCCAACAGGCGTACGACAGAGTGTGGAGAAAAGGCCTACTCATGAAAATGATGGACCTCGGGATAAATGGCAAACTTAACAAATGGATCAAGTTCTTCCTGTCGGATCGAAACCAAGGTAAACAATACCCACACGTCAAGAGAAGAACTCGAGGAAGGCCTACCTCAAGGTTCCTCTCTGAGTTGCACTTTGTTCCTGGTCTTCTTTAATGATGTAACGAACGTGCTAAAATCAGAAAAGACTCCTTATGCTGATGATCTTGCTCTCTGGCAGACACATCACAGCACGATAGTAGGAGCAAGTAAATTAAATGAAGACCTCAAGAGGCTCCACAACTACTGTCAGAAATGGAAACTTGAAATAAACTGCACGAAAACAGTATACACCATCTTCACGAAGAGCCATACAGCAGCCAAAGAAAATCTCAAAATAAAGATAGGAAATGAAAGTCTCCCCAAAGAAGAACATCCAACTTACCTAGGAGTCAAACTTGATCATAGTCTAACCATGGAAAGCCAAGTGGAGGACATAAGGAACAAAGCAAAAAAAAAAAAGACTTCAACTTTTAAAGAAACTCGCAATCAGTTCATGGGGATCAGACAAACAAACTCTGAGAGCTCTATACCTTGGTTATGTCCGATCTTCCCTGGAATACAGAAATAGCCTACTCACTATGTGCAGTACAACTACTTGCAACATCCTTGACAAGGTCCAAAACAATGCCCCTCGTTTTATAAATGGTGGCATGAGATTCACACCTACCGCCGCGTGCGAAATCCTTGCAAATGTTGAACCCCTGGGAATCCGCAGAGATAAAGCAGTTTTGGAGCTACATGAAAGAACAAAAAGAATGTGCCCCAACCACCCAAACAGGAAATTAGTAAAAACAAGGAAACCAAAGAAACGAATTCAACAAAAGTCAATCATGCATCACGTCACAGAACTAATGGAGAGTCACCATCTACTACAAAACAGAAAAGAAACCAAAAGAGTTAACCAAAACATCCCTCCCCACCTTTCTTTAAAAAAACCAATCATTACAACATCTCTCAAAGACAAGAGCACAAAATCGTCAGATCCAGTGACGCTGATGCATTCATCACATCAAACAATCGACAGCCATTCAGACGACTGGATACACGTCTATACGGACGGCTCAGCATTCAAAGGCACAACCAAAGTCGGATATGGAATACTAATACAGTACCCAGATGGAATTTCCAATGAGATCACTGCAGCCTGTGGAGAGAAATGCAGCAACTACGATGCAGAAATGATGGCAATAGAAACAGCACTGTACCATCTCCGCACAGTTTTTGCGATTGTTGTGATTTTCACTGGCTCACTATCAGTCTTACAAGCCATAGAAAATGACCATCATCTAAACCAAGATTTGACTCATATACTGTTTGGTTGTCATCATCTGATAACATTCTGTGGCATCAACCTAGTAATGCAGTGGGTCCCAGGACACTCAAACATACCTGGAAATGACAGAGTAGACACACTTGCCACACGGGGCTCTAGACAGGAACAGCCCAACATTCCAACTTCATACAACACTGCAAACAAAGAAGATTGGATGAACAGATGGGTCCTGGGAAAGACAGGCAGAGCAGTTTTCAAACATGTGACCACAACAAAAAGGAATGACAATATCAATCACATACAGAGAAAGAAACAGACCACGAACAGAACATATACAGCTCAACTTCCACCTGAACAGAATAAACCCGGAACTTCCCCCAATGTGTCCCTTGTGTGACTATGCATATGAGACTCCGGATCATCACCTGTTCCACTGCACAGCCCTAAATGACACTAGAGCTACCCTTCTCCCTCCGAGACTTAACATTGACGACACACTCTATGGAACATTACAGCAACTGCAGCAGACCTGCACTTATCCCTACATTGCATTGGACAGAAGGGCGAGAGCCCAGCTGTTGCTGGATCGATAACAACAACAACAACAACAACAACAACAACAACAACAACAACAACAACAACAAGGGCTGTACAGCAAGTAATAGTAATTGGCCGTTTGGAGGGTGGAGAAAGGCAAATTGTGGTTGCCAATCATTTTGGTGTTCACATCTCGACCGTCCATAGACTCATAACCCGTTTTCAGCTCACGAATCTTACGTCGGACCGAAAAAGGTCAGGTCGACCCGGAGTGACCGATGCACGTGCACACTAATATATCGTCCGGATGTATCATTCAAATCGACTTCAGACAGCTACAAGAACATCAGATTTCATAAGGAGTACCCACGGAAGAGCTAGAGGTCGACACACAGTAAACCAAAGATTGCGTCAGGTAAGCCTTAGACGCCGTCAACCTTACCATGGTCCAACCTTGACCGCACACCATCGCAAAGAGCGTTTCAGCTAGGCCCAGCACCATGTCAACAGCTGTCTGAGAGACTGATCTTTGGTTCTCAGTTTTGCACGAATGCCTGTTCTCCCTAGATACACTAAACAGGGACTTCAGAGTTAATCAAGAGGAAGGCAAACGTTATCGTGGCAACTGTGTCATAGAAAGGAATCACTGGGAGTGGAATCATGTGGAACCACAGAGTAGGACCAATGATCTTCCAAAATCAAGGCCAAGGTCGATGTCAAGGTATCCATGCTGCCCGTTGCATAGCAGAAGTTCTTAGGCCACTCTGCTTAGTCAAAACTTTAACTTCCGGTTCCAACCAGATATTGCTTGTGCACACGCTTCCCGTGTTACATATATATGATTCCCTCCAACACCATGGCATCACTCTTTAGCCTCGCCTTGCCCTTAGCACGGATTTAAACTAAATTAAGCATTTCTAGGACGAAATTAAAAGACGCACAGAGGGGAGGATAACCAAGGCCGAGAACCATGCAGGAACTGGATGTGGCCATAAAGGAGATATGGAGGCAGATCTCGCTACGTTTTACAAACAGCCACGTGGCTTCCTTGTACCGGGGATCTGCTTCGGTTATCCGATCTAATTGTAGCCAAAACTACTACTGAGCATTTTGATGCATTAACCAGAAGTAGAAAATATATTCCGCGAAAATGTAATATTCACAGTGATGCCTCACGTATCTGTTCATAGTGCAAGAAAACAGTTTGTGTTTAAATTCCACCGTTTTGTTAAAATTGGAAAACGAACACTCTCACCGTTGCAAAGGTAAACAGGATTTTGCGTTTCTTTTGCTCGCTAGTATAATAGTAATAATAATAATAATGATGATGATTAAAAAAAAAAAATAATGACCATATTAATAATAATAATAATAAAAATAATAATAGTAATAACAACAACAACATCAATAATACTAGATCTAATAATAAAAATAAAAATAATAACAATAACAATGACAAGAACAATATTATTGATAAAAAAGTAATACTAGCAATAAAGATAACAATAATAATAATAATAATAATAATAATAATAATAATAATAATAATAATAATAATAATAAAATGATGATGATGATGATGACTATAGTAATAAAAAATAACAACAACAGCATAATAATAACACTAATGATAATAATAATAATACTACTACTACTACTACTACTACTAATAATAATAATAATTATAATAATAATACTAATAACAATAAAGATAATAATAATAGTATGATAATCTTATTATAATGGAGCTAAGCCTGTTTGTGAGGTCAGTATACATATTTTTACACAGGTGCCCATTACATCTACAAAAATATATTTCAGTTAAGAATTGTCACAAAGGGTTACGTGGGCATATTTTCAAATTTCGGAAACAGCCTTTTGATTTTTCAGGCTTGATGGTTTTTCCTGTAAATCGAAGCTTTCAGATGTTTTCACTCTGTCATTAGCCATTTCATATTTTGCTGGGGGGCTACTTCCGTCCAGTTTGTGCTTCGTCGATAGGGTGAAAGACATATAATCTAGAATCTCGATTTATTATCCAACTCTGTTTGGATGTGTGCTTCGCTGTGTCGATGGATACTTGAGGCCAGACTTCATTGTATTGACTTTGTCTGATTACATTTGGTGCAGTCAATGATAGTACATAACAAGATGGGCCACTTCTCTCTTTGAGCCAATTAAAAAAGTGTCCTCAAAATTTGGTGGCGCCCTCTTCACAAAAGCGCACTCTTTGCGAACAGAGTTACCCTACTTGAGTTTAAAAAAAATCAAAGTGAAACTAGCAAGTTTTGGGATAAATTTTGGAAGAACGCTTTTTTAAAGTGGTTACGCTGACAAAAAACCTCTTCCGGAGGAAAGGGTGATGGTTTTCTTCGTTTAATTTGACTTTAGAATGAAAGGCGAGAGGTCATTAAAATATTTAAAAAAACTAAAACTCCGCACTGAACGTACCCGAACTGCTGATGAACAGCAGTCGATCTGCGCACGCAAGGAGGTGCTATTCCTATTCTTCTTCTGGAAAAACGAAAGAGAGCTTCAAAACAGACTGCAGCGCCATCTGAAGCAAAGAG